ATGACTTCTGATCTAACTCCGAAATTTTAAAATATTCTAATACTCGAACAGTCTATAAGATGAATACCTCGTACTTCGTTCTCCATCTTTTCAGAAGTTTTTGAATTTTTTAAACTTGCTCCATGTTGGCTTTTTTCAGATTTTTAAATAAGTCTCAGCAAGAATTTTCCAATTTTGGAATTATTCCGTGAGACATTTCTTAACATATCTATTTCGCCTCAAATTAAAAAAAAAAAAGGGCAGATTGAATTAGACTACAATGATTCTATAACCTGAATGAAAGTCGAGAGCAGGCTTTTGGTATGTGATTTACTAACTATTAAATTGAGAAAACAGAAACTTCTTTTGGTTGCTATTGAAAGTAATGGCGAAATGAAAACAAAATAAGTGGACAAAAATTATTTTCATTCCAAACTATCGTTTTCTTCATCCAATCATTATTCATAACCCAATAAACTTTAAAAATGAAAACACCATGAGATTAAACGCATTCCTCACAGCATATATGATATTTTTCGTCGTAATCCTCATGCACATCTCTAAATAACGGGTTTCCCTCTAATAGCATTGTATTGAAGGCAGTAAATAATGTACACAGATAAATCGTTGATTAATATAAAACAAAGAAATTAATCAAAATCGGATTAGTTTAACAAAGGGATGTTGGACTTAATGACAAAATGAATTTATATGTGTACAAACTTTTCTGACTTCTAAATTTCACGTGATTTGCACGAACATACCCTATAAAACTAAAACTTAATTTTATGCTACCCATTTGTTTTGACCGAAAAGTCTGAATTCGTTATGGAACTTCAAAATGATGTATTTAGAAAACTTCATTTACAATCATAAATTGAAGCGATTGGAATGATTACATGGCGTCTTGTGAAAAAGTCGCATCGGCATCATGACCTTTAAATTTCTTGTTGGTTTTAAAATGCTAAGATCAGTTCAATAGAGAATAGAAAGGAATTCTTAAGTATTTAATATCTTTCTCAGTAAAAAATAAGCAACGATAATTATAACAGTATGTAAAGAAGGCATTCAGATGGAAATTCAGAGTATAGAAATAAATTATAATGCAAAAAAATTTCTTCGCCAATTTTCGTACTAATAGAGGTTAATACAAAAGACAATGCAATGCGTACCTGATCTGAAAATGATAGTACAAAAGCTAACTGCATCGGGAATGAAATAGAAGTTCAGCCAAAAAAAAAAAAAAAAAATTAGATAAAGAGACTCTCTTCATACGCCAATTTAAAAGGAAGTTTCTGAAACAAATTTTGGTAAGTATCTATACTCACTTTAAGAAACAATGATTGGCAGCAATCAGTAAGTATTCGTGATATTATTTAAAAAGAAAATATGGAACTGACTAATTGTAAGAATAAATTAAGAAAAAAAAAAGACATGAATAGAAAGCCAAATGATTGGAGTGCAAAAAGACATTCTACTGAATGTAAGTGAAACAAATTAAATAAAGAATGATTAATTTATCTTGCATTATAATCTTATGAAGTCACAAGTGATATCAAATCGAATTGAAGAAGTAATTATCTGAGTTGATCTTCATTTTGACATTTCATTTTCTTTAGAAACTTTGATAGGAACTGTCCATCAGAAGTTGTAGTTCGGAGTTGAAGGACAGTTGTTAAACTATCATACTGTTTTTTTAAAGTTGCAGATTCTATTTCCACCTTCACTGGTGCTGTGAAGATAAGGAACTGAAATATTTATAATATGAAAGTACCGGAAGCTAACTGACTGTTAATTGGAAAATTAATATTTTCAAATGTTAGTAAAGAAACAAAAAGAACATTTCTTTGAGTAGAAGTTGAGATAATAATATAAACATGTATCTAATATGCGAGTTCATTATTGCTCTTACCTGTGCCTCTGACAACTGATTATGGCGTCCAAGCCATCGATTTTTTAAAAACAATGTCCCAAGGGTTAAATATTTGAAAATGATTAGTAGAAGAAGTATAATTAATATGGAAAGTACGATTTTGATAAGACTTGATAACGATATAAATTCTGAAGCCAATATATCGGCATCTTCTGCAACAGTTAAGTTTATTCATAAAGTGAATGAGAGCATATCAGTGGATACGTATAATCAAATGCATGAAAAGGTAATAAAGAGTATCTTGTCATTAACTGGAATAGATTATTGTATTTTGAGGGAATTAAGAAAACAACTATTCAAATATGGGTATCTAACTTCAAGATTTCAAAAACAGATTCTTTTCGAAATAGAGTGAAACATAGATTAAAGAAATAAACATTTCACTAAAGTGAATCCAATCAACCAGCCTGTAATTTTATTGGAAAAATTCGTAAAAGCAATTTCAAATCGGCCTCCAAGATCGTCAGCTGTTTCAGTAATCGACTTGAAAAATTTGGAACCAACGGATTCAATCATTCGGATGGCATTGCTGTCTAATGCACTGAAATTCCATACTTAAATTAATGCTTATGTAAATCGATGTTACTGTGTTATCAAATCATTATAGAACTTATTGCTTGGCAGAAAGGTAACTGAACCCATGCTTTTTTGAAGACAACAAAAACATTTAATTGAAAATGTCATAACGAGCTAATAATTGTTAAGAAAATTAATTTCAATTTCCGAAAATAATGCTATTTTACACTAATTTTATTTCCAAGAAATAGTGATAAATTAAACAAAAATGAAAGATTTTTGCGTTCAAAGCCACTCCATTATGACAATATTGGTAATATTAGATTAGAAGGAATTCTAAGTAACTATAAGTAACTAACTTATTCACTACTGTTATTAAGCAGTAGTCAACAATTTTCGAAAAACTAGAAAAACTTGGTTAGAAGAAAGACGTGATAATACAAGCATGATAACCGGATTCAGTCGAAGCATACTCTTATTCTAGTATATGGAGACATATTCTGGCTAGTTGGTATTCATTTCTGAGCAACTCAATTGTTGGTAACTTTCTTCTTCTCAAGTTTAACTGATCATCGAACAAAGGCAGCTATTATCAAAACGTCAAATGACATATCAATTTGCTTCACGATTCTGTTCAATAAAAGAGTAAGAAGAGGTGGAAAAATTACTATCGTGAGGTTTGTAGCAACGCCGATGAGGTTCTTAACTGACTAAATTATTCAGACATGTACTGATTACCACAAGTTAACTTTCTTTAGCCAGTAAGCAAGCCAACAAAAAGGTTATCTGACTGAATAGAATCACAGTGTCATTCTAGTTTAAGCGCAATATAGGTACATTTCACAAAACCAAGAGAATAAAATTCAAGAAATATCTAAAGAGGACAGAAATGACTTTCACGTTTAACTTTATGATATCAATGAGTCTTCTGTTCCAAATGCATACAGCTTTATGATCAAAAAGAAAAAAAAAAGGATTTGAACTCATTTGTGAACCAGTCTGTATTTGGACACCTACTCTGCATTCAGTAAACATTCTTTCTTACTAGAATTGCTGAGTTTAAAAAAAAGGAGAAGTGGATTTCAAGGCGTGAATCCAATTTCAAAGCAGAAGTTAAATTAGATTTGAAAACTGAACTTGTTTAGTTCAGTTTTTTCTTAAATCACTTCCTTCAAGAAGCATCTCATCGTCCATTCTGTACTCCTCTTCAATCAGCTATAGAATTAACCCGTGATAAAGGAATACCGATGGGTGATAATCTTGTCTTCCTTTACCATTTAACAACAAAAGTTTGCACCATGTTATTCAGTTCAATGAATATTGAATATTAAGCAAGTAGAATAATTACAAGAAATCTCTTTTCTATCTCTCAACTGAATAAGTTAACGTACAGTCCTTTAATTTTTGAAAACCATTTTGTAAATTTATTAAGAAGTTGCACTATTGGAATTGAAAAATTTTTGAAAATTCTTGAGGTTATTCAATTATTATTTATAATGCTATCAAAAATGCACAACTTGAATTTATCTTTTGTAGAGAGTACAAATGATGCCGTTAACCTGAATAATGCAAATCGTCAAGTCTTGGAATTCTTTTGAATAACAGTACAAATAATAAAACCCGAAAACATAGAACGTTTGAGAACGGTTCAAGATATATAATATACTTTCTTTTTTATTTGTTTTTCAAAAGAGACATAATTTGTTGATGGATTTTTAACTCACTATCAGTGTCATTTGATTAACTTCCTTCTCATGAAGACAGAAAGTCGAATAAGTGAATAATGATTAGCTGCTACCCAAAAATTGAATTCAAGAAAAGATAGACAAAATATGAGTAATTTAAAAACAGAAAGGTGGAAATAAAGGTAGTGCAGAATTACACATCACATCAATAACCGTTTTTTTCCGAATCATATGAGAATGGTAGAAATTATTTAGATATGAATGGAGTGGAAAACCTGTTTCTATGCGCTCATAAGTACTCATCTGCTCATCCCTGATAACCTCAGTTCCACTAATCATCAGACCTCTTTTGTCGAAATGATTTTTAGTATGCATTAGCTTTTTATTTCTCTCACTGAGTTTACTGCTCTTTCTTTTTTATTTGTTTTTTGCTAATATCAAGGTGAACTACAGCTTGTAGATGAATTTTTCATTATCAGTAGCAATTGATTAACTTCCTCCTTCCAGAACAATTCGTAATCCTCAATCGTAATCCATGGGGTTCTATAGACAACAAAGAATCCAACGACAACGACCAGCCACTCTCACGATACGGAGACCACTTGTTTGACACACAAAATTCCACGTCCAAAAAGGTTTCCAGGCTAGGACGCGACAGTTGCATAGTGTATAGTCCAATTATCGGAGAGAGAAAGAGAGGAAGAGTAAGTGACAATATCTGTACCTGTGCAGCTGTGGTCGATGGGACAAAAGGTTAAAGGATTTGTGAGTTTTTGGTGGGATATTATGTTATATTGTTGATAAGGTGGGAAACGGGTTATTTGAGAATGGACGAATCACGTAAGTTTCGTTTGACTTATTTATTCATACTTCTAGTTAGTTGCTGGATGGCAAAAGAAGAGGAAGACGAAGTAATACCATCGTCTAGTGATGCCATTATTGCATCACTGATTAACGAAGTACGCAAAACGAATGAGGTGACTGATTTTTCCGAATTTATTCAAGTACCAAAAAAACTCATTTATTGTAACAGAATCCATGAAGTCATTACAAAAGGAGAGAATTTTCAGCCGTTCGATATGAAAAGTCTAATTGGTGGGAAACTCGAAGTTACGACAAAAAGGTAAGTCTAATTTGCGTCGAACGAGTATGAGTAGTTATATTTGTATAACCACGTTTGTTATTTATGATCAATACTCTGAAGTTTTTTAATTGTCGTTTAAAAGTATCTTTGATGAACTTGAGGTAACAAATTATTTCCTTGCAACTCAGCCTGGAATTCATTCTAGAGTGTCAAAAGTTCTTTGTTTGGTTGATTGTTGTAAATTGCATAAATTATTTTTTCCTAAAGAGAGTTATTATGTGTTTTAAGCATGCAAAAACATCCAACTTATCATTCAGCAACATGTCAGTGACTGCTTATTAATGTGAATTTAATTTTTGCTATAGTTTAATCATAGTGTGTGTTGATTACTGCTCCATTTCAGAGAAGCAAGAAGTGATGAAACTCTTTCATCATTACATGGATACTGCAAGAAGTTAAAACGTCACAGGGACAAAAAATCAAAAAAGAGCAAGAAGTCGAAGTATAAATTACAATCCAAGTCAAAGTCACCATCACGCAAAAGGAAAAAGTACATTGTCATGAGATAGAATATTGATGAGGAAAAGCTTTACCTTTCATTATTCTTTTACCTTTAAAATCATTTCAGACATCGAAGCCATAGTCACTCTACAAGTATAGAGAGTAAAACTTATCATGGAAATACTGAAAAATTTGTCACTTATACTATACCACCATCCGTTGAAGCTGTTATGGAAAAGGTTTTTCAGTCATAATTTATGAAACTTAAGGATCACCATACATGTTGATAGTTGTTTGCTGAAGAATACTGTGGTTTAAGCTGTTAAATTTGATATAATATTTTTAGACAATGAAAAATTTTTTTTTTTTTTTTGATAGTGAGAATGTTTTTTCTTGAAGTTCCTATAGCAATTTATATTTGAAAAAATCGATAAAAGTTGAAATTGATATAGCTCAACCTTGTCGATAAGGAAAAAGTGTGATGGTTTCAGATCTCAGATGATGAGGATGATCTTCCTGTTGGTGCAGACTTTCTCAGTGTTAATGCTAGTAGTTCAAAAATGGATGGAAAAAGTACATCATTTCAAGTTATACCTAATGTTGCACAAAATAAAACAAAAGAGTTTAGTAAGTCTTTTTACTTCTTTTTGTCACCTTATAACTTGTTCTCGAAAGGATAACTATATTTTCTTCGTCATACAGATGTTAATGAAGAAGTATTTCCTTTGGCTAAGAAGAAAAAGAAGTCAGAAAGTCCACCTGTATTGAAGAAACCCCGCCCATTATCGGAAATTCTAGCGAAGGTACGAGCTGAAAGAGACAATACATTTGTACCACGTAATATCAAATTGAAGCAAGAAAATGGAAAAAGGTAATTGAGTAGAGTATTTCTTGCATATTTTTTTTCAAAAAAGATCGAACTTTCTCGGGATGAAAACCATATATCTTATCCTGCTTAAACATTCGTATCAATGTTTGGTACTTTTTGTAGTTGCTATTCATTGGCTTATCATATATTATATGCATGATTGAATTTTGAAATATTATATGTTTTGCATTGCAGTGTTAGTGAGTCAACTACAGATGTGGTCAGTCATATAATTCCAAGTAATTTTTGCTTTCAATTGTATAGAATTTTCTTGAGTCCTTAGAAAGCTTGACGTGATTTGTCATATTTTCATAATATTGATAATACTAGGAAGGTACCATTACTATTAATATTTTTATGGGTTTGCAGAGAACGATGGTGCTAGACATGATGACGTTGAGTATGGACCAAGGCCAGTGGAAGCTCTTCGAACGCAGCCAATCTCTGAAGACGAGGATGAATTGCAGTTATCTCCTCTTAAAGTAAAGCAAACTGAAGCTTCAAAATTCATTAAAATCGCCACTATAAGCAAGGTAAGTGTAGCACTCTTCTTTCTTGGTAAATATTTATTGAGTCTTGGGTTATCTGAAATTCTTTAAAGGATGCGCATCAGTTTGCAATTAAAATTTTTGAGTGAAATATTTGCATATTCAAAAATCGATTTGTATGTCTTATAAACACTTTATTCGGTTGGAGTTGTAGGTGTAATATTAATTTAGAACTGTGTTATATCAATATTTAATCTTCAAGTTATTTATAAACTGCAACATTTATAAAGATTATTTGTAGGTACTATTTGGTGATGAGAAAAGAGGTCAAATGGGAAAAGATGGAGAAATCGCAGTAAGTGATACAAGTGCGGAACCTTCTTTTTCAAATGATGATACTGTTGATGAACTGGTTGCTGAAAAACATTCAAAATTGGAACGAAGAATGAGTGGTAATGAAAATGAAATAAAAAGAAAAACAGATGGTAAGATAAAGATCAGTCATTAAAATGTCTCTCATTTAATTTAACTTCATCTTTCATGTGGCAAAGGTTATAAAATCCTTGGCGAATGGTTTTATTTTGCTTTTTTTAAGGCGCTGGATTACTAACTCTGAGTCATTCATATACATAATGTTATCATAACTTCTTTGCTTTCATTTTTTAAGTTTAAAATATATCCTTTCATGTTCGACCATTTGAGCATATTTGTCTTCTTGTTGTCTTTTCGTTGCTGGTACGTGTTGTATGATTTTTTTTTTTTACACTGCAGTTTACACTGATACATCGATAATGGTCAGATAAGCATTAAAAAGGCTGTATAAATTAGATTAGGGAAAGTTTTCTGTTGCTTTTTTTGGTTTTTTCTCATTAAGTGTGTTTAATGCAGTTTTGAAATTTTTAGTGAAATTGAGGAGTTTTAGTCTATTTTGAATTCCTTTTCATTTACGTATTACGAAAATTTTTTTCCAAATATTTTTCCAGAAAGGAAAAGGAAGAAAGAAAGCAGAGATAAAAAGCATGGGAAGCGATATTCAAAGCGCAACAGTTCGTTGTCATCGGATAGTGAAAAGGAATGGAAACTTTTAGAAAAGAAGTGCAAAAATTTTTTTGTGATTGATCGATTTTTATATTTTTCGTAATTCTTGTTTGTTTTTTTCGTATTAGACGCACGAATTTTCAGAAACAAAGTGAAGGAGCATTCACGATACTCAGGACGAGAATTTGACAAGATTCGTAGGCGGCCTGGTTGGTTTTTGACATCAAAAATTTTCACATTGTATTTATGTCTGTCATGAATTGAAGTGTAAGTAATTTTTAGGCAGTTTTTATGTACAATCATATTACGTAGACAGTAATAAAAGAGTGCATGAAGGTTCGAAATGGCAGTGGAATCGTGGAGAAAAAGATGTAAAAGAAAAAACTAGTACACTTTCTATGCAGTAAGTAAATCTTTGATATGAAAGTGGATTAATTTTGTTTGGAGACTTGAATGCTTAAGAGGTCATTTTCAGTACACGTTCGAAAGGCTGGAGGCAAATTCGTTCTCTGAAGAGTCCTTATATGGAACGTAAGCGAAAGCGATCACCATCAAGTTCATGCTCACGTTCACATTCACGCACAAGGTCTTAGTTTTGCATGTAATTACTTGCTATTTCAGCATATTGCACTTTTGTTAAATTTTCAATGAATTTATTGGTAAAATTTATAGGTCATTATCAAGTACTTCATCACGAAGCTCTCATTCATCTCACTATCGTAAAGTCCGAAGCTCTTATCGTGGTCACAATCATTATTATTATCATCGTGATCGGGAAAGTAACAGTAAAAAGCGAAGTGACGATGAATCATATAGTCATAAAATTGACAAAAAGAAGTTACTGGAGATTGCACAAAGAAATGCAGCTCAAATGGCACAAGTTCGTCTTACTTTCGTATGCTTTTAGTTAGAATCAGTTCCAACAATTTCTCAGTTTATCCATTTTAATATCTTTTCAAGGAGCTATGATTCCAAAACTTTGGGAAGATCTAACTCTATTGAGATTGGTCGCTCTGAGATGCACTTTTTCTCTTCATCTTCCGAAAACCGTTGGTATAATAATCTTCCTTTTATGAAATCCAGTATACAAAGATTTTAATTTTAGCTCGGTTATTTACCAAATACTTCTCTTGAAACAAAAGCCCAACTGAAAGCAGGCGGACAATCTGTCGATCAACTTGTTGGTAAGTGCTTTCATGTCTGGTTTTTATTAGATGCTGTATCTTATGCTGACCGTGTTGCTCCTTACATGTTTTTTTGTTTCAGATTTTTGTCAGAGATTACAGCGGTCACAAGATAAGGCTGCACGACGTGAGAAAGGAGAGGCCGTATCGAGTGATGAAGACTTAGCACCAAGGAAGAAAAGAGGTGAAGATGATACTGATTTCCTGAAACATCCTTTTGCTTTGAAACCTGCTGCTCCAATTACTATTAACATTCCGGTAAGCTGATGTTAAATATTTTTGATTTTCCAGCTTAGTGCTACTTTAGACCGTAGTATCTTCGGACAATCTATAAATCCCTGTTTTTGATAGCTGATTGTAATATTTAAGATACGTTAAGATACACTCATATTAAGTAATCTAAAAGAAGTTTTTGGAATCAGGCAATCACTTTATATAATTTTTATTTCAACTGACATTCTCCTCTTGTATGAGCTCAGATTTTTATTGATGATACTTCTCTAAATAATGCCTAAATAAGCTATTTTCCAGAACTCTATTCCACTTCCAATTAAAACACCTGCGCAGAGGACGTTAGAAGAAAGTCAGTTACGTATTACTTATCCGGTTTCTTCAGGGGCGCAGCACCGAGAAAAGGACAATGTAAGTTTAGTGGAATATACTTATTAGTCCTTGATTTACGCTATTTTGAATTATGTAATAATTTTGTTTGTAGGGATGGATACCAGTTAAAAAGGAGGAAATACCATCAGTTTGTAGTCCAATGCAGAAAGCGAGATTGGCTTCAGTCTCTAAGGAAAATGAAAAGGTCATACTTTTTTTAAACAACATAGTTTAATCTAAAAATTTGCTATATTGGTTGTATAAAATTTTGTTAATTTCTACGTGCTTCTTTCTTATTTGTTATAGATAATATACTTTTAACGTTTTATTGGACTGCTCGAATTTTCTGCGAATATATTTAATAACTTTTGTAAAGTTTTTGTTATCTCCTTTAACAAAAAAATTGCTCAAATATGTCAAATATGTTTCGAAATACTCAGGTTCTTTTTAACATTTAATTAACCCCTTGAATTATACTATCAAAATCATCAAAAATTTCTTTTTCAGATCTTCAATACATTTGAAATCGTAGCTGCCAGATCATTCGTCCTGCCTCCACCTCCAACACCGCCAATATTGGCGTCGTTTACGCAGTCTGCCTCTTCTTTGTTGAATTTGCCTCCACCTCCGCCACCACCTGATTTGTTTTCTGGTTCTTGCAACGCTTCACAGAATCAACAACAGAAATCTTCTCTTGGCTTAAACTATGGTAATGTTGTCACAGTGCCAGAAGAAGAATCTGTATTCAGGGAACCAGAATCCCTCCATCATACGGTATATAATTGTGAAAAAAATTTTGTTTCAAAATTTAATTTGAAAATCTAGGTCCTAAATGTCGTTAAGATGATGTATCTAGTCTGTCTGTTTGTTAGGATATTTTTCGCTGCAGTAGTTGTATCATTATTTAGTTTTTCCGTCTTTTTCTGTGTGTGTGTGTGTGTGTTAATCGGAAGTATGGGAGAGATTGATTTCTTGCTACTTTTTGTGGTGTGTTTGTTAATTGTTTTTTTTTTTTTTCTGATTAGTATTCCACCGTTAAAGAATCTTCGAATATGTAATTTTTTTAGTATTTGAAGTAATATGCGGTGGATAAATGAAAACGACGTATTTGGAAGTTGCTATTTATGTGCTCAAATTTAGTAAGAATCATACGGCTACAATGTACAGGATCCCTTCCAACTGAAGCAAAATATCCTTTGTTTGGGAACGGCAGACATGATTTTCTGTTTCCTAACTGAGTTTTTGTGTTTTCTAATTTCCTCACCATGGGTTCAAGTTTATGAATCGGTCATATTTTCTTCGATAAATATTGCGGATTACCTACTTGATATGCACGATTTCTGATTTTCTGCTGGCAACTTCAATACTGAGGTACTATTCGTATCTGCGGGTACAGATTTAAATTCTTTTGTTTTAGCCGGCAAATGTTGGCAGGGTGATGGCAAAACGAATAAAAGCAAGTAAGCTGTTAGCGAAAGATCCGAATGACTATGAAGCAAGGCACCTGTTGAAAGAAGCTGATGATCAGGCAACTTTTTCTATTATCCAGATAATAAAAGTGGTTGAAAAATCCACTAGGTGTAGCGGGAAATAAGGGAAAAGTATAGCGCAGGATGTTCATTTGGTGGAGTTGTAGTGGCGAAGTGGCTGAATGGTTTAGGTTCTGTGCGAGAAGTTTCTGGAAGTCCGATGTCAATGCTGTTGTGAATTTATATGTGCAACAATTTCTGCGTGTTAATTCCACCTTCCAAACCTTTCGATCATTTCATGATTTTAAGGTATTTCACAGTGGATATAATAAAGGAAGCGTAGAACTGAACTCAGGATGCTTGTGTATTTTCACTAGTGTGTCAAAGATGCGTAACAATATAATTGTTCTTTCACGCGAACCATTTTATCTCTGATGAATTACTTTTCCGTTTACGAGGAATTGCCTTTGCAATTTTGTTGCAGCCAGTAAAGTGCGCCAAGTTAGGATCCTGTGACCATTGGAAGTCATTAGCTTTCTGGTCAAAATTCCTTTTTAAAAGCGTGTCCCTTTTCTGCCTAGCACATGTTTAAGTCTCAAGATTGGAGATTTCAAGATTAAAAATTGGTTTGAATTTTCTGTAGATAATTTAAAATACAATAAGGGCAGGAAGAAATTTTTGTATATGAGATAGAAAACGGTGTTTGAACCGTCGATCCGAGGTTTCAGTTGGGTTTCGCAAATATCTGCCAGATAAAACCTATGCGTATTGTTATCGGAAGTTTTTTCATTCGTGATTTGGAACTTCAAAATGGTGAATGCCACTTTACAGATAAGAGCATGGGCTGAGAGTAAAAAGAATTTACCTGGAAAATTTACTGGAACCACCGGTGTGAATATATTGAAAGCTGATCAGCTTGGCCCGGATGATCCGCGCTTCAGTGTTTGGGCAAAAAAGGTTTGTTGGATTGCCCTAGAAGATTTATATGGAAATTTTGCTACATTTACATGACCAAGATTTTTATATGACTCAAGGTTTTTATCATTTCTTATAAAGTTTTTATTCTTCCTGCAAGGTCTATTTGAACTATGAAATCTATTTAAAAAATGTATTGCCAAAGTCTTAAAGATTTTGTCATAAAGACTTTTAGAAGTCATTCGGTTCTGTATGGCAAGGTTGAGGAAAATGCGAAATAATCTTTGTAATGCTAAGTGTGTCTGTTTTTGCACTTTTGCGTTCCAAGAAGTGCTTTCCTCCAGAAGCAACTGCCAGTGGAAAATCCGATGATGATAAATAAGTCATATGTCCCAGACAGTTGCTTATTTTTACTGTGAAATATAAGATTTCATGAATGAAGGCATTATTGCTTTGGTAAGGACTTGTAAGAACTGCAGCAGATGCCATTCATTTTTTATGTTTAAATAAAACCAGTATAGATGGACGAACAAATAAGTTTTTGAAAAAAAAAAAGAAAAAAATCTATGGAAAAGAGTGCTATCTTTGTATATATAATCAACATTTAGTTTAATAGAAAGTGAGTTCTTTATACATGATATATTTTCTTGTTAAAAACTGAACTTTATGCTTCACTCATATCCAGTGGCAATGTCAATGGGCTTGTAATGAAGAATGTTATGACTTGATTCTTCGTTTTATTTTTCTCTACGTTGCTTATTTTTGTGAAACTGGCAGAAAATTCTCAGCCTAGAGATCATTATTGGGATCAGCACTGACTTTTAAGAAACTCTCTCACATCTTTGAGGTAACACTGTTGGTGTCGTAAAATAATGCAGTTAACATGTTATGAAATGGCTAATATTTTCTGCTTAGATCATTTTAGATATCTTTGTAATTCATTAAATTTTCTGTGCCCATGTGTTTGCTGTTGCTAAAGATAAAATGGTTCTGAGGTACTGCGAGAAGACTGTTATATGTTTGGGAACGATTTTGTATCTCTTATAAGCAAAATTTTTTCAACAGAAACAACAGATTTTAGACTTATCGGACGTTGTGCCTTCTGTCATATTTTAATATAAACAGTCTGAGTCTTTTTCCATAGCAAATTTGCGGGTTTAAATGTCTCTGAATTGAGTTGCAATTTTTCATCAGAACCTTTGTCAGAATCCAGTTGCAGCCTCGAATCATTCATTTTTTTTTCTTTTGAAATATCTAAAATTCGCGATTTGTTCTCCAGAATTAATCAGTGATGCACTTGATGCAGGCAGAAAGCCCGGTCAATTATATGCATTGCTTTTCTTTTGTAGTTTGGCACTTGCCTGGTCCATCAATATAGCCTGTTTGTGTCATTTATCGTTTTTACTGCCTGGCTTTTTTGGCATCAGTAACTGATTAGAAGAAATTAACAATTCTGTATTACTTGTTAGATTATCAGTATTTGAAATGGTTCATCGTGGATATTCCATCATCGACTTCATGTTTTGGTCGAAAAATGTTGAAAGTGGACGAACAATTATCTACCACAAGAAATAGATTATTAATGGTCTAATGACACGAGTTGCATTTTTTTTTTGCGCGTAAAATAACAGGTTTTCCTCTTAATAACAGTTCTAGGTGTTTTATATAATATGCTTAATTGTAGAAGGAAAGACATGCACTTATTGTGTATATATTTTTAACGACCTAGTTAGAAAGTGAACTGAATTAACATATAAATGCATAAGTAGAAATGTTTTTTGTATTTCAATTAGAATATGTGCACAGTATTTTTTACTTTTTTTTTATTTTTCATCATATCTAATACTTTTTACTTTTCTGAAATAATGATTGTGCTGGAGTAATGTTTTACTAAGTCATCCTTATACCATGCGCTATTTGTGTACATCTTGCAACTCGTGTCATTGATCATGGACAGAAATTGTTTAGGTGTTGCTGAGCGTAACTGATGATGGGAAAGGATTTATTTCTACTGTAGCTGATGTTTTGACCTTTTTGAATAGTGATCATACGGCCGTTGGCGTAAGTTTGTATATGGCTCTTTTAGTTTTTTTTTTATTTTCTGAATTTTATTTTTCAAGTCCCCGTACATCTTACTTAAACTTTTTGTATTTCAGGATTTTTTGAAACAGACGAATGCTGTAAACAGTGGTGTAGGTTTAAAGCTGATGCAGAAAATGGGTTGGACACCTGGTGAAGGCCTAGGGAAAGGAAGAGATGGTCCTCTTGAGCCATTAGTTTTGGACATTAAATCGGACAGAAAAGGTTTGTGAATACTTTTTCAAGCACTGTAAAAGTTCAATTTGTCTCAATCGTGAAGATGGCATATATAAGATGTTACATACTCGTAAAATACATATTTATGCAATTTTATGAATAATTGTTCTATGAATTTGTGTGTTTATTAATCAGTTATTACATTTTAGGTTTGGTAGCTTCGGAAGAACTTCCAGAATTGAAGAAGTTACGCCCGAATTTTGGGAAAAATTTAGCTGGTACGATTTCTTAACCTTTTTTTTTTTCCTCACACTACTTTATAACTTTTTAATATAAATCGGTGTGAATTTCTATATAAAACAAACTTTTTGGAACTATTTTGATTCCTTAAGTTGTATTTCAAGAGCATGATAAGGTAAAATAGTCATTTTTATTTTAGGGAAGCATCCGGTATCTGTTCTTATGGAACTTTGCTCGAAAAAACGATGGCATGCCCCACAGTTCACATGTTTGGAGAGTGGACCATCAAATAACCGAAGATTTCTTTGGAAGGTGAGAATGCATATATATAGTTAGATTCTATCGCGGGGTATTAATAAAATCCTAGTCAAATAGAATTAAATCATAGGTGATTAAATATCATAATATTTCATCTATTTGTATCTTTTTTTAGTAAATTCCATCATTGTCCATGTTCCAGGCTGTTGTTAATGGTGTTGAATATCAACCATCAGTCCCATCAACTAGTAAGAAAACTGGTAAAGCTCAAGCATGTCAAGTGGTTCTTCAATCTTTGGGTTTGGTTCCACGTGATCCATTGTTACCAATCATTTTATGAGGCACTACAAATAAGTTTTTCTCTTGTGCATTTTGTGCCATTTCATCTTTAAATATAAAATTTTTCAATTAGGAGTTCATAGTTGTAGGTCCTGAATTTAATTTTAGTGAATCTTTAAATCATCAAATTGAATTCTAGCAAAAAAGGCATTTTCTCAATGATGTAGTAAAAGAGATGCTGTTGTGTTTATGATAATTTTTTTGAGTTATGTCGTTTTATTTCTGAGAGCAAAATTACATTTGATCACTGAAGAGTATGTTGCTCATTTTTTGTGTGAATGAAAAGTGTTTCAATGGAGAAACATCTCCTTATATACTATATTTCCCTCATGTTCAGATTTGTATCTATATTTTTTTGACAAAGTGCTAGTTATAAGCAATTTTCGTCCCATTCTATCATATTGTACATTGTTTTACTACGTAAAATTATTATTTTTCTCAAAACAGTGATAATACACACAAAGAAACTTGGTTTGTCCTTGAGAGTGGAGATGAAATTACTTATCGAAATAATTCACGTTCTTCGCAGAAAGTTAAAGACAGACGGTGTAAACGAAGTAGATGATAGACGATTTTGAATTTGCAAGCGAGAAATGGCAGTGCTCCTAGCTATAACTCGGACGTGCATACGACATTTGGCCTCTTTTGCTAGTGGCTTCATATCCTCTGCTAGGAGGTGCGCGTGGTTGGGGTAGCATCATATCTGAAAAAAACTTATGAAGTGTTGTCAAACTGGAACTGAATACCTTAAATAAAAAAAGTAGAAATTAATGATAAAAATATTAGTCTATACAATGTTTCCGAGAACAACTAGTTCGAGTCTTAAAATTCCATTAAATGAACATAAAAATTGCTGCATGGAGCTACCTTTTTTACCGCCGTAATATTTGCTGCTTTCATCTTGTCCATCTTTGACACTCTGGTAATATCCTACATCATCGCTCGGTCCAGGTCCGCCATCATATGGTTTTTCTGCACCATTACCTTTTAGGGGTGAAGGTCTAGCGTATCCATAGGGAACTGCATCCACTAGTGATATTGCTAAGAGATTTATTGCGATTAGCAGCAAAGTTTCTCCCGCAATACCTCTAAAAACCATGTTATTTCCTGAAATCTGACTTAGTGATACTAGAAATATTTAGCTGTAGTCATAATCTACATATCCAAATGGTCTCTACATTTATTCTTTGTGAATAGTAATTATCTCCATTTTCGAATCTTCATTATACTAATTCTCAAAAATCTGAACCATCTAAACATTCCGTTTGATTTCGTTCGAAGTTTATAAAAAATCATAGAAATCAATTCGCTTGACTAGAGGAGCTTGTGGCTAATCCTTAACATTTTCCTGGTTTTAAATGATACGATGCAAATAAATGAATCCGGTTTAGTGCAAGATTTTTGATTCAGTAAGAGGTTAAAATAAAATACGTTGAAGGAGAGATTACAAAAAGGTCGAAAACTGTGAAAGAAATTTGCAGTGAAAGTTGGTGCATTCTGTTTTTCAAAGGGAGCATTTTTATAGCCACAAAATCGGGACAAAGAATGTGACTTTGAAAAAAGTTAACAATTGATGAAAGGGAGCTGGTTCATTTCTCTCATCACTACGAAATAATAAATTACTTTGGCTTGTGATTTTGTACATTTGAAACTTGAATTACAATGTTTGAGAAATTTTACAAGATATTTTGCTGATGCTTTCCCTACTGACATGATAATGATGGTCATTTCTTGATTGGAAATTAATTCCATCACAAATTTCCAGTCATTATGTTTCTTCATTACATTGAATAGTTGAAGATACCACAAGTTGAGTTGATGGTGTTTAGTTGCTTTTTATATCTTATTATATGGGAAGTGTTTTTTTTAATACATAATGATGGTAATTAACTTAGAATGAATCATCAGTTTCTAAATTATTAGTCGCATATACTTGGACTGCAAAACTCCACTTTTTTTTAAAAAAAAAAACTTTGAAATTCCAAAATTGCCGGAATTCTGTTTCGTTTAAACTGATTTTGGACTTTAAATTAACAGGGAGACGTGCATTTCTGATGACTGTATTTGCGATAGTATCATTTAATTACTGTCGCTAATGAACAATTAACCAGTGTGTGGGTGTGTGTGATTGATTCATTTACTCTTGAGCACTTTTTGCACCGTACAGTTTTTTCTTCTTGATGAGAAATGCTGGATCTGACAATCGTTCAAAATTTATTGAGATTTTAAAAAATTTGACCAATCCCAGGAATCACCACCAAGGAACTTTTTTTAGAATGAAGAAATGTCAAATTTTCATGAGGTAATGAATTTGAATTCCTGAAAAATGCATAAAATTTAGTAACATTTAAAGGAGAAATACGAATTGATGTCAACTACAATTAATTTCAAAATTTGCTACCATGATGAATCAGCAAGACTATGCCCGTAGTTATTTTCAACTGTCAGTTTAGTTGTAATGTTTATATTTTGAGCGTCAAGTATATAACAGAAGAGTTCGATGATGTAACGAACTGCAGTATTAGAATAAAATAACAAACTGTAGAAATTAATGTCAGCATTGGTATTAGATTCAATATAAGTTTAAATATTTTACTGCATTTCCGTACAATTTTTGTTTTACTTATATTCCAGTAGATTATTCCCATACACTTCAGAAATATGTGATGCTGATTTGAAATTTATGTGTAAGAAGACTGAAAACATTTAAAATGCCAGGGAATCAAAATTAGCGTGAAATTTTTTACTGTTTTAGTAAGATGTGCTTCCACGGCAATTTTAAGTGAATTTTGCATGTCGAATAAAATATATGATGTAATCCAAAAAAACTGTAAAATACAATTGAACAATTAATGAACATTCGGTTCTAAACAATTGAACTGTTTATTAAATTGATTAATCTGTTAATTCGCTAAAAATATAATAGCAATTAGGAAGACATTTAAAAATAAAGTTTTACCAAGACTCTGTAATCAACTACAATAACTTCTAGATTGAAGGAACTTTACTCCGAGCTTTCAGATATATAAATTCCTGAAGTTAAAACACTCAGAGTACCTTAGAATCTTATGAATTTCATTTCTTATTTCTCAGATTGCAGGCTGATTTATTAAATCTTCATACCTGCTTATGAACAGCTAGCTTTTCCTGAGATTACTAGTTACCCTTGTGATATGCCTTGAAAATTGCTCAAATGAAACCTCAGTTAATGTAATCGTTTCTTCCAAATGACTTATAATTTCATGTGATAACTTTGCTTTTTTCTATGACAAGAAACAGAATTATTCATATTAATTTAAATTTATACCCACTGCTTTAATATTTTCAGCCTTTTAAAAAAAGGAACGTTTTTAAGCTTATCCAGTAGAATAAAAAGTTCAGTTTCCGAAGATGAAGTAGAATAATCAATTGTTACAATGTCATAGTAATCATATTTATATACCTGAAGCCAAATTTACACTTAATGTGGTGATCACAACATACTAGCTTCGAAAATGTCCTTGTCAAATAGCGAAAGCACATGACGCCCTCAAATTGGTCTGTAGCCTTAATGACTAATTATATAGTAGTTAACCGACTTCAATTTACTCCGCTGTATCTAAATTTGCAAGAAAGTCGGATCAATTCGCAACAATAAAATTAAACAACACAGATTTACCATAGTCTACAAGCTTTAATTTAATTAGAAATTTGACTTTCAAACAAATTTACACTTTCATTTGGCACAGCCTCTTACCTAATAGTTCTTAAAAGACCAAGAATTCATTCCGTAATGCAGATGTCGAAAATAAACTAACTGCTGAGAAATTGCCCGCCTTTTCCTGTAAAGAACCTCTCACCCAATTTATCATAACGATGCAATCAGTATAGAACAGAACAGTCTGCAACCAGTGATGACACTACTTCTCCAATTAGTGCACGATGCAGTAACCTTCCAAATCCAAAATATTTTAAAATTTTACCAAGTACGAGAAAATTCAGGGACTTACCGTTTTCATTTTAAAACTTTAAATCTTCAGATTTTTTAAACTTTAAATCTCTACATAAGCTTATTTTTACGATCTTCAAATAAACAAACATCCACACTATTTGATATAAAGACGACACCCATGCAAAAAAGAAGTCATCATCCTCAGTTCGCATAAGCGATACTGAAAAGTAATCCTTAGCAAAAAAATTTTAAATATTTTAGTTCCATTCTTAGCATATGCCTGTTGTTTACCAACTAATCTAGCAGAGCAGTGAGCTCCCATTCCGCTTTCTATTTTGCACTTGTCTGGATCAGTTACAAATCAGCAACCATACGTGGTGTATTTGATGGGATCTACTGCATTCAGGTTAACGTTCATTTGCAACTTAGTCCCAAATAGCTATAAAACTGGGCATCATCTGGACAGCCAGCCATAAACGTCGCATTTCACTAGATTTTAAATCCATTTTATCTTTTAGACAAACATTTCAAAAAAAAAAAATTCTACAATGACAGTGTTATGTAAATGAAAATAACATTCCAAAAGGCACATCCAGGATGAATATATTTCAATAACTACAGTTTACAAACTTTTTTCTCGCCGCCATCTGCACTACTCATTCGTCTGGAAATTCTGTAAATATCGATCGACTTAAGCATACTAGCTTTTTCCCATTACTATAACATCATGAGGAATCCATTGCATTGATAGGAAAACTTACTACTCAAATTACAAACTCAAAAGTTTTTAAGAAATAAAGCACTTAAATAACTCAAATGCAATCAGTGCATAACAATTCAAATTCAGATTTGAATTCTCTTTCCCAGTTCCTTTGATGTTTTGAAGCAAAAAGCTGCGCAAAAATGAGTAAGTGAAAAAATAAATTGTCGAGCTAGTGAAAATGCAAAACTAAACAAGATGAAAAGGCACGATAAAGGAGATGATATGAATTGGAGAAAAAATAAAACGTAGTTAAAAAATAAAACGCTCAGCAAAATTATTAACAACACTAATAACAATGCATGATTCAATACAGGTAAGAGACCACAAATTTCTTCATTTTTCGCTTTTTCTATCAGTGGGTATAACTATCTGAACTGATATTTATTTTATGCTATTAATAAACATGCAAATACGCCCTTCCAATCATCTTGATGCACTAGACTAAACCAAGAACGAATAATGAAAACAATGGTGAACTCTTCCTTACTTTAACATATCAATTCAAATCTTCGTTTCGAAGATGGACTCGATAGATACTCCCTAAAAATAAAAAATAAAAGTAAATGACACACAGCAGCAAAACAAGAGTTACATCAAAAGTTAGACCGATATCAGCTAGAAAGCGAAAATACTAGCAAAAAAAGGGAAACTTCCTAAAAAATATGAGAACAAAGAGAAGAACAAGAAACAATGAATAAGTGTGTACAATTAAGGCAATTAAGAAAACCAAACCACATTACGATTGTATTTCATAATAAAAAAGAAACAATTAAGATGACAATAAAAATGCATTAATATTTACTAATAGTAGCCAAAAAATCAAAGCTTTAAATCAAATTTAGAAAAGCAGTCAATCAGTACAATATAGAACAGGTCGTTAATACAGCAGGTCGATTTTTCCTAACTATCTTCCTCCAAACAGAACAAGTTTAGATCAAAATTTTTAACAACTATGATTTTTAAATTATCATCGATGGCAATCAGACTTCAGCCAGTAACACACATTTGCCTTGGGAACAATAATAATAACCTAGTACGTAGAGTATTTCAGGATGATCTATCAATTTGCTCCGACAAAATACTTCTCCGCATATCATCGTTACTATTTCTTAACACCGTATAAATACTATCCACTTCAGCAAGCTGTTCCAAAACTGGGATTATATCTAACAATTCAACATCATTCGCATCATCAAACCATGTTTGTACCGGAATCTTAAAACGTGTTTTCAAGAGATAACATTGGAAATGCTAAAAGCTATAATACTACAATAATTTTTCCTTTCATCACTTCTAATTCAAAAATAAAAATTCTTGCGAATATGTCGCGAGAATAATAGCTGTTTTATATTCCAAGATTTACCATAATACCCTAAATCTTCCTATTTGTTTGAATTCATTTTTCTAAACAGATCAAGAGTGCAGCGGTAAAAATGGAAACATTTTCTTGTGAAAAAAAAAGACCAATAAATCAACATACCGCATTATCGGGATGAAAAGCATAACTAGCCGGTGAATTATCTACAATGATTACTTTCTTTAAATCGCGACCAAGCCTTGTCAAATCCTGAAAATTGAAGAGAAAATAAAATGTTAAACAAGAAAATACGATTCCTATTGTAGTTGCTCTCAGTTATTTTCGATTTTATACTTAAAGATCTTTGCAGAGAATGTGCTAAAATCGTTTGTTAAAGGATGCAAAACAAGAAAGCGATTATTTACTGATTATGATACGATACATACCATTTCAATCTCTGCAAACATCTTTGGAGTATAATATAACAGAGAGATTAAACAAGCGCAGAGAAAACATGTTTGAAAAAAAAAAGAAAAAAAAAACAAAACAAAAGCAAACCTTTACATAATTACCCTTATGAAAAACACAAGATTCTCGAAATAAACGCGCGCGGAACACACCTCGTTTATCCAAAAAATCAGCAACTGGATCAGCATACTGAAATTCATAAAGAATCTCGAAATTATTTCAAGAGCAATTTATCTCTATTACATTACTAATCATTCATTGATAATGCTGAATCCCTCTGGAAGAATGATTTTGTCGCTTCTTTATGCCTCGTTTTCTACTCACGGTGATAAAGAGAACCACAACGAAATAGGGTTGTGTGAATGCTCTTCCGTAAAAAGTATGGAAGTTGTTGAAATCAGTCCAACTCAGTTGAAAGGTAATACTTGTAAACAAAGTACTTAAATTATCAAATCTGACTAATTCACTACATCTCCCATTTAGAAGCGCTCCTATCCTAACTGAAATAATCATTCTTTATTATTGCTGCAGAAAATGTGCAATTTTATTCCGTCTCTATTTCAAGAATATCCTTTAACAGTGTTTCTACACAGCTAGCAAAATTTTGATATTTAAAAGATCTTTGTGGTACTGCACATTTCCCTCCATAATTCGCAATTCTTAGGAAAGAAATACTTTGGCAAGGCTGGCTGTGAATAATACACATTCAAACTTGTCACCTATCCTTTCCAAAAACTCATCCACATAAGGCCGTTTTAGCACATAAACCTGATGAATAACGTTATCGATTTCAACTGGTATTATAAAATCCGGATTCTTCACAGGCTGAAATATAATTAATTAAGAACAAAAGGAAGACAAAGACCACACATCTTGTCTTTTCTTTCCAAAAAGAAATTCCTCAGATAGAACTACCTAAGAACCAAATTAAACATTCCAATCTTATATTACGCCTAGAACAAATATCCCAGTTATAAAACTTGACTTTCAAATTCTTGAATTTATAAATCTCCACAAGGAATCAATTTGTCGACTAACACGAAAAAAGTTTGTGATATGCAACAATCCAGAACGAATTACTCCAAAATCTGAAATTTGCTAAAATTAACCTTAAATGAAGAATGCACCAATGTTTCATCCAAATCAATAATAAGACACTTTTTATCTCCATCACACGGACGTAGTGGAGGAAGCAATAACTTGTCGGAGAGTTGCTAAAATTTCATTTTTATTCTCAGAAATATTTCAATCTCAAAAACAATACATAAACTAAATTTTCTTGATTGCCTCTAAAGTACTCGAAATTCGAAAAGCTGCCAATCACTACATTTGAACAAGCTGCCAAAATTTCACCACATTTGAACATTTACGACTTCATTTCTTCCTCAATTGCAGTTTAGTTAAATTAACTTTTTTTCCTCCCACTTTTTTTTTCCTTTTAGCCTAATTAAATTAACTCTCACGGCTAACTTTGATAGCAGCAATTAATTACTACTTGTTCTCATACCAAAAACTATGTCGCAAAAATTTATAAGGCTAAAAGGAAAAAAAAAAGGACCAATTTTTGAATCTAATATAAAAAAGGCGTAATAAGTAGCATTTGCTAATCCTATGTTCATTTTTTTCTTCTCAATCCTGGTTTAACAAAGTTAGTATAATAAACAAAGTTAAACAAAATGTTTCCCGCTTTAAAATCCTTTTTAAATTTTTTTCACAACCTTGATTCTGCATTTTCATGCTTTTAGTTAGGAAGTTAAAAAAAAAACTGCATCAAACTTTTTTGTGATTCTGAAGAGATAAGCTAAATGACTTAAACACTAAATGATCGCAAACGCTAAACGAACAATTATAATCTCAAAAATGAAAAAACAAAAGGAATACTACGTTTTATCATGATAAATAAAATTTTTTTAAATCCAGTTCCGTGATATGCTGTTATGCTTTATGGCACTTTTCTTCTATCCCACCGCTACAACGAAAACAGTAACGACCACACTGATCGATCATAACCACGTATTCAAGTGCATTTCATAAAGCAAAAGTTCGCGTATTAGTGAAATAGCGAATTCCAACTCTGCCACATCAGTTTTACCGCACATATTTTGCGTATATAGCACGAAAGCGGGCATGACAAAGAGTTATGTAGTGCCGAAGCACGGATTCATTTCATTTCACTCAACCATTTAAAACTTAAAAACGATGTCATGCCTGCTATCTGTAAATCTTTTTCAAAATAAGATTGTTGCCAGTGAACACGCTACAACTAGATGACAGATAATACCAAATGAAAAAAAGCTAATGGTCGTACTTGGCTCAATCGTTGGAAACACAACTGCGAAAAAAAAAAAGCTACCACTCATTACGTACTTAAAATTCCATTGAAATGAATTTAGCTGCACTTCAAATTCAATTAGTACACAACTAAATAGAACAGTGATAAAACTGTTCGGAATTCAAAACCAGATGTTCAGATTTATAGAACAAAACGGTAATAAGACTAAAGCACTAGTGAAAGACAAAATTTCGAAAGAATAGCAATGTTGAGTAATAACCCAAATTCCCCATGATAGTAGGATTGTAATGAATTCTTCGGGATATCATTTCAAGAAATCGAAGTTACCTGTTAAGGAGGCGGCTAGAGATGGTTGTCAAAATCTTCATATATTTTTTTTCAAAATGCAACACATGATACTACCACTTAAGTGATAAATTGTGTAGAATATAAAAAATATATTATAGTATGAGATGTTGGAAACTATTTAAAACTTTATTTCCATTGAAGATTAAGTTCATTTATTTCATCCAGTTCTATGTCTTCAAAAAAAAATGATATAGAATCTTTCATTCTTTTACCGCTTAGTTCATTGTTGACCACAAAACTTTCCAAACATTTCGGCAAGTGCAAGAAAAGCAACTCACTTTTAATGCAGGCTTATCATCAAGAAAACTAGAGATCAATTCACCAAGTGCGCACATGAATTGTCTTTTTTATTTCGCTTAAAACACTTCCATAAGACATTTGTTGTCAAGCATTCCTCAGACCGTTTTTTTACTGCTAACGATGACACTGAAGTGAGTTATTGCTGTAGGAGAGAATTAAATGGAACAAGAAAGCTCTCACTGTGGAAAAATGACAATGCAAAAGGAATGAAGTTCAACCCATCAATAAAATAACCTTCTCACCATCAAAAACAGGTTAAAAGTACTGCAGCCTCACGCCGTTTGGCTTAGTTAATTAAATCTGGTCTCTTGGAGTAATTAAATAGCAAATTAAATTTGTTTATTTCACATGCTTCACTAGATGCGTCTAATTTTATCTACTGATCTAACAAAACGATTGCTTTTAACTCAACCAAACACATTCTTCAATTCAAACAGTAGAATGAGAAAACATGAGAAAAACGAGAACACATAAGCTAAGTGAAATATCATTGTTTCACCAAGATCTTTTATTCACTCTTCTTTCACGTTTCATATTCTTATGCCTTACAACCTCGAAAAACAATTTTTTAAGACTTCGAAAAATCTCATGAAATTATCTGCAAAAAATATAAGTAGGTCTAGAAAATATAAAGAGATGTAAAGAAATATACCTTACCTTTTTAAAAGAAATCTTAACTTGAGAATCTGGTTAAATAAATTCTACTTAAAAAGAAAGTACGACCTCCGTTGACAATAAACTCAAAATAAAACAAAATACAAAGTTGGATCAAAATAATTAAATTTTTACTAAAAGAATCATTAATCACACGACTGTTTAAAGTATTACAATTTGAACTCAATTCAACTACTGTCAGCGGAGGAGGTAAAATTAAATTAGCATACTAAAGATGGGAGAATCTACCGGTATTCCTGACCAGTTCATATCTTAAGTTCATGAAGTACTGGTGCTTAGTGGATGAAATTTACCGTTCTCGTAGGCAGTATGAAATGAACCATATAATGAATGTCAAATGTAGCTACCGAATGTGTATAACGAATGCCATATCATATGAATAAATATATAAGTATATACAGCACAGTAATACAATTAGTTCAGTCATATAAATATGTTCAATAATCCATCATTTATCTAATACGTAAAAGAAAGTAAAAACGTTCCTCATAAATAATATAACCACAAACACAACCACACAAATAATTCTCTTTTTCGAAACACTGGACATTGAAGAAAAAAGAGTACAGACGTTTTGACGTAAATATGTTCAATAATCCATCATTTATCTAATACGTCAAAGTGTGCCAACTATTTTTAAAACAAAAATGAGTAAAAAACTTAAAGTACTGTTAGTCTTTGAACAAAAAACTCCGAAAATTGAAAAACTTTCTAAATAAATAATATACGTTAAAAAAAAATTACTGTGAATAATGTCCTAACCTATTTTACTGTAACCTAAAGATAGTAAATTTCAAATAATTATATTTAAAAAAAATAAACCAAGAAATCCAAATGAATTTTTTTTTTAAACTGACCAGAATTAGGAACAACACAGCTTTAAATTTTAAAATCCTAATAAAAAGAAAATCCAATGACCGCAGTTAACCTGAAAAGAAAACTGACCATGGGAACGTATTCGCCAGTATCATCGTAATTATCAGCTGAATAGGAATCATTTACACTGACATTTGTTCCGTTTACATTCGTACAGTTTTGCGAATTTTTTATTTCTTGAGTAATCAGTGATTGCGGAGTTGAAGTTGATGGAAATGGATGAAGTGTTCGTCGTTTCGCTAACAATTAGCAATGTTGAATATAAAAGCCTTAGAAAGAAAACAATCCAAACAACTATAAAATAAATAGTATAATAAAAAAAGTGTACGACATAACAAAGCACCGCCTCTTTTCAGTGAACATAATACAGCAACTGTTATAGCCAAAATTAATGAAAATAAAGATAAACTGAATTTAGGAAATTTTTAGTGAAATGCAATCCTATAAGTGATTGCATTACTAGTTCTACACTGTATAGCTGTCCATAAAAAATTAAAACGAACTTTTAGCAGTAGCTTCGGATCGTATACAACAGCAAAATGACTGCAGAAATTTGGGCATATGCGGCTTTCCACGTGATGCGACACTCGACGATTTATTTCGGATATTTTTTGGTTCTAGAAATTTTGAAGAAATTAGTGGATACTGAACAGTATATGGAATACAAAAATATGATACTTCATTAATTCATGCCGTTAAAAATCCAACCAATTAAAAAGTAAAAAAGATTGCATTTTTACGTGTTATTTAATTCATTCACTTAAAAACCCAGCTCCAAAACCTTAGAGCATTTCAAAAGCGTTACAATAACCAAATGAAATTGTGCAGACTTCAAACAAAATAATCTGACAACCAGATCTTTTGTTTTACATATCCGTAAGATATCCTATACTATTGCTCTCCTGATAGTAAGAAATTCCTAAAATTACAAAATTTTGAATCTCAACTAAAACATGAAAAGATCAAAAACTACACCATGCAAAATGAATCCTAAGGAGAAGGAAAAGTAAAAATATGATGCTAAACTCCGATTGCTAAAATACTGCAATACTAAAATTCGTTCTTGTAGATAGACTGCCGATGTTAACATCTAATCCAATCCCAATCAATGAGATAATTGTAAGAAGCATAATAGCTTATGGCGCTTTGAAGAACTCTGTTCAACAAATCCACTTTCTTGAATTTCAGTAGTCCTGGCAAATAGTATTTCAATCGCACCTACTGTTTTATTTTTATAATCTACACAACTAGTCGCCTTCAATTTATGAAATTTTCATGAAACCAAATGCAATTTTGGGAAACCCACGGTTATTTTGAAAAGCTGATAAAATCATTTTTTAAACTACTGAAAATTTAAAAATTTTATATGAAATACGGAAGAAATGCAGTAGATGATTTAAATAAAATCATCTTAATTAAATTATTCTAAATTGCAAATTGAACAAAAAATGATGTACTATTTGCATAAACTACAAAAATATATAAAAAAGTATTCTATGAAAACGATAGACTATCTATCAATGTTATAAGCTACCATATTGTTCAATATCCGCTAATATCTCAACGTTAGAAAATATTCATGTTTATTCAAGTGAAGAAACAACTTAGTAATAGTAAATTTTGAAATTTTTAGTAAATCCAAATTTAAGAGGATCTTAAAATGAAATTAAAAACTACAGGCTTAGTAAAACATAGAGGATAAGAACCTAAATCCAAAAAAATCACCTTTATCATTAGATAATGACCAAATGAACAGTGCATCATGTTTACTGTTAGCACCTTCCACAACATACCCTTCCTTATCGAGTGTTTTTAGCTGTGACACTCCTCCATCAACATTAGTACATTCTTTGGCAGCACTATGTTTCGGAAAAGATAATTTTTGACAGGAAAATTCGTCTGCTAAATTAATTTTGGTGAAGTTTTTATATCTTATCCCAGTACCATTTTCAAATCGACGAAGTAATCCGACCAATAGCGTTTGAGATCTATCACCGGGACTACTATCCGATGCTAACATCGATTTTGAATGTATAATTTGTTCGTTAGCAGACGATATACCAAAGTCGGATGTAGACGGTACAGGCTGCATTATAGATGGAGGACGAGGAATAAGTCTTAATGAAGGCAAAGAAACAGCACCGGAAGAAGTATATGATGGATTCTCATAACAGGTTTTTGGCCAACATGAACGAGGTGTAGAAGTAACAGTTACTGGAAAGCGATTTGGCGCATAACCACATGGAACGATTTTCTGCAGTCCTTGTGAAGTTGCTCCTTCCACTCTGCTATGGTTTACTTCATTCAGATTCATGTTGCTGCCAGACGCCACGCCAGTACAAGTACTTGTAATGACATTTCCAAGCAACGAGATGTCATTTTTCGTCCTTTCCATATCATCGTGATTCCAAAAACAAGTTGCACTCATGTTGTCCTCAGCACTGTACCATGAATTCAGAATTTTACTTTTCCGGTACAAAGATTTTGAGGCATCCAACACTTCAATACCTTTACAATTTCTTAAAACATTGCTGCTTGAAAGAGATGCCCCCTGTCGTACATTAAGACGCCGTAAGCCATGAACTGCTAATGAAGAACCTTCCAGTGACTGACTGTTCCGTTCATCCGATTTTTTCATTGAAAAATAGAGCTTACGGAATTCCCCTCAGAATAAGAAGTGAGAGAGAGATTAAGTAAGGAAATTGGGAAATATACGGTTATACGGCAAATCTTCGAGAACTTTTTCGATCGTACCTGGAAAAACAAAATAGTTAAAAGCAAAAAGCACGATGGAAGCGTAAAAATCAATCGTAGGAGCGTGCAATTTTTTTTCCATATTCAATATTTGGCTCTGAATGAGTAGCTAGATGGAAATCATATCGAAATACAAAATAACAATAAGGTAAGCTGCAGGAGAAACGTATAGATAGACTGTGTGGTTTTCCTCTATAGCGTCACTTCGAAAATGAAATGCAGCAAGCTCATCCGTAAACATGATGACCGGAGAGTCAGTGAAAAAAGTCTTCAAGATTGGCCTGTCCTATTCATTTTTCAAATAAATTTATTTATAACACATTTAAAACGAGATCAGAACGAATTATAAACGTATTATAACCACCTTCTTTATTTCATTCTTAATCGCAAATAAATAAATAAAGATTACACAATTTTTACGAAAATATTTATTTAATTTGCTGAAGTCTGCAGAGCTATTTATCTTTTGCTGCAGAAAAAAGTGAATCAAGACTGACAAAGAGGAAAAAAGTTGCAGACATAGAATGAAAGATAAAGTTTAGCAAAAGCTTCGACTAATACTCAAAACACTGTATTTTGAAAAGATGTGTCAAGTTTCTTATATATTCCATCATCAGGTGGTTGGAAATCAAATGTAACTGATCAAAAATCGGTCGGCTTTTTCAAACTACGCATAATACCAGTTTAAATCAACGAAACTCTTTAAAGATATATGTAAGCAAGAAATTTGAGAAAATATACAATTAAACGCAAATATTCGAAAAATGTTTTAGTCGTTCTCAAAAAAAAAAAAATAAAAATTAAGAGTAAAAAGCTTAATGAAACTTACGTCAAAACCATTAGCAGCAACATGTAATTTTTTTTCCGCCACTCTAATATTTTCGGCTGCCAGTACTATCTTTTCCGAAAAATATCTCACTCTAATAGTAAAAAAACCGTAAATCAAAGTTTGGTTTTCAATATTCATTCTCGCAAGAGATTGTAAATCAAAGTTTCTAGACTGTTTGATTAATTTATTAGCATTAGTTTTAATGCTTGATCACCGACTTAGAAATCACAATTACATTGTTCCTAGGATTTAAAATAAATCATTTATAAAAAAGAAGCATCACCAAAACCCATCGTTACTAAGCAATAATCAGAAATTTCAACTCCTTTTTATGAGACAAATAAAATCTGAAGAGGAGTAAGAAATCTTCTAATGAAGAACGATCAGCAGCAAAAATCAAAAAATATTCTCAGTACAATAAAAGTCAGGATGTAATATCTACTATCGACAGGAACAAAAGAGGAAAAAATTATTAAGTAAACTAGGAAATAAAGTAAGAAAAGTGATGAATAGGAGAAAAGCGGGAATTTGAAGACATGTGAACGGATAATAATTACTGAATTCACTGAAAAAAAGCAACACATTTCAGGATCATCTCATCATAAAGAGAGCCATACAGAAGAGATTATACTTAATTGATGAAAGCAACCCTATTCATAAATCGTGCACCATAAAACGCCAATAATAAGTAGAAGAATGCAAGAATATCTGAATGCAAGAAGTTGTGAGCAAAATGAATGTTATCCATGAAGTAGGGACGGCATCCCAGCAGTAGCTTTTGCTTTTAATGTATGATATTATTCGGTGCACGGTTATCCATTAGAATGTAACAAATTAATAAGATAATTAATTATGAACACCTATAATTAGACCAAGTGGCGGGGGATGAAGAAAAAGAAGGTGGAAAGGGATAATGATGTGAAGTGGAAAAGGAGGAGAAAAAAGAGAGGAGGGAGAGGGATAAGAGGAACAGGCTTCTTCCTCTCTACTTGCTGAAATTGTGACTTGTACCACATGTTCACACATAGCTACTGCTACTATCTACAGCAGTTGATGAACGCATGATAGCGAGGGAGGGCAAGACTGACTGCCTGGTGTGATGGCTAATGGTAAAAATCATCATCAAGAGGAGGAGGAGGAGCGGCTCGGTCTGTCTGGATGTTAGATTGACAGGCCTTCATTAACTAGCACCACTGACTGCATGTCTTCTCTTCCTCTGCTGCTCGAGGTTGTCACTGTGTTACAGCATACTTCTGTCACCTCCTCAATACTACTACTTTGTGTTACTATAATTCGTTACCACTGATCCTTAAGGGATTGTCGTTTATCCTTGCACAAAGTACAGTACAAGCACTCTGGCAAAATGCTTGCATCGTGTTAATAATCATATTATTCATACCTCTTTCCCCTCATTTCATATCGAGAAATTCCCTCCAGTGGACTGCGTCACGTCCTGAGTTGCAAATGTCGCAACCTATCCTTTACGTACTTTGCAGCATGCATTGTCACAAACCGATATATATCACAGCGGATAACTCAAATCTTTTCCATCACTATCATATAAAGAGTAACTTTCATAATACCGTATTGGTAGATACTCTTTCAGTTCAGGAATATCTAAAAATAACGCAGAAGACTGACAAATGCAGCAATAAAATTGAAGGCACAGACAAATGGGTGAATTTAGCTTTGGAAATGAAAGATGCAATTCTGGCCACTACAATCTTGCATGGAGAAGTGAACCTGCGTAACGACTTGTTGTGAATAACCATAGTATTAGAAACAACCAGTAATAGGAAATTCTTCAATAATTATGATTATATTTCTTTTACATAGGTATGTAAAAGTAACAATTATAACCTTTCTCTGGAACTAATATTACAACGTTACTTTCCGCAACTGCGACGAGATCGCAATTCAAATTACTAATGAGTGAAGCAAATAAAGGAGTAAAACGAAATGTCGCGTCCTTCATAGTAGAAAAAGCATCATTTAGATGATATTAGGGGGTACCTGATATTATATATATATATATATATATATATATATATATAATATTGAGCGTGCTCAATACCATAACTGGTTGAGAATTGCATCAACCAATACCAAAAGGAAAGATTGGAAGAAACGCCTTATCTTTTTAAGTAGTTTTAAGAAGTCATCTAGCTCAAGCATAGCGGTAGTATACTACTGCTAACTAAGGATAATGGAAATCCTCTTCAGAAAGTGGAATTAGCGGCCGAAATGTGGCAATCATACACCAATCCCTTAAAAAACTACAAAGAATTCCGCTTTCGAATCATCTTATTATCACCACATCAACTATTCGTTCTATTAGACACAGAATAATAGCTTTCATTTAAGAAATCTATTTTATTTCATGAGAAACTTCTTGCCAAATATGGAAAAGATAGAGAAACAGTGCAACAGAGAATCAAATGAACATGAAGTTTTCTAAGTTTACAGTCATGATTTATGTCCATCCAGTATCTGTCATTTCCCCGCCGTCTAAGCTCTTACGGTAAATATACTTCCTTTCTTTCTTTCTCCCGGTTTACCGCAACTTATCACTCATTGAATGTAAACACTTTTGTTGAAATTTGATAATTCCTTTACCAAAACTAGTTAGTTGTTTGCTGTTATTTCATAGTGAATCAAAAATTTGTTCAGCATCTGCCTATATGACTTCAAGTACAAAAACAAAAAAAAAAAAAGTTGACTGCTTGTGCAAATATTTTTCTTGCTGACGATGAAAAGACAACTGGAAAATGATGAACCAGCAGAAAACTTCATATTAAATGTTTATATCAAATAAAAAGTAGAAAGTTCAAAAAAAGAAAATCTGAAGTCTGATATAAGCTATGCTTACAACACGAAGAATCTTTAATGACACTGTTTGGCAAAACTACTGTTAGACAAACCATCACATATTTCGTAAACGAAGTTAATAGATAGGATAACCGCTGCGAAAAACAATCAGTAAAGCTAGATTCAAACCAGAGTGGATGAATCTCAAACTGCACAAACCCATACATAAAGTTAAGATTTAGAGGAAAAGCCTCCTGACTGGTGAAAAAGCAAAAGGCAAATGACTCAACATCCTAATATTACGGGATGAATAATACTGTTTTACGGAAAAAAGTATAATTTAAAATCATGATTTGGAAAAATACAAAAACAAAGTTAAGACTACACTACTACAGTTACAGCACTGAAACCACTGCGATAATGTGAGAATGATGTGCCACAAGAAAATGAAATTCATTTAATTAAAATGATGAAAAACATTTAATTAAAAAAAAACGACTACTTTTCCTCTGTTTCCAACTTTATATAGTAGGAGCACTCCGCCAAGTATGAACGAGAACAATGAGTCGAGTAGCGCAAGTAGCACGTGTAATGGTAGTCACGCAAGCATAAACTCTCCAGCTAACATCTTGTCGAACGATGCAATCATGGTACCGAGCGATCTACTTCTCTCTCCACCCTCTCCCTTGATGGGAAGTATCATAATTCTTTTCACAACACGACTAAACCCACAAATAAAGTGTGAAATTTCGTCATTTAAGAATAAATTCTTGAGATAAAATGGAATCGATATTATTTAGGAATGATCGCTTATTGCTCTTAATCAACTTTAACAATTTATGGATTTGAAGAAAACTAAATGTTTATTCACAATAAATATGAACAGTATATTTACTTTGACTACTTTTATTTCTACTCCAAGCGTTTTGAAAACTGCAATACCGGAAAAAGATGTTTTCTTCGAATGTCATAATACATTTTTATTCTCAACCAGAAATCCCGCTCGGTGCAATCCAGAAATACTACTCTTATCTTGCAAGGAATAAGGATACGAACAATTCATTCCCGCGTTAATTATGTCATTCTCATGAAAAAGGAACCAAAAAGTAACACCGAAAACAAAACTAAAATTAGGACTTGAAACCAGAAGCATTAAATGATGAACAAGAGGAATGAGTGCACTCGAGTAAACTGAGACCATATATGATGATAAGGGTATTTCTTCAATTTTTAAGAGTGGATAAGAAAAAAGGAAAAATACGTGGCTGACCTTGCCATTCTTCACAATTCTCCGAAATACCGGACAAACTGTGTAATATTACATAACGTATCGTTTCGTTTTGCTTTACATATGATTACACTCAAAAACAACTCTTTTCGCCACTGACAGTCAACTCTCGCGTGGCTAAATGGCGCAGTGGCTAAATGGTACAACTGAGACAGCAAAAAATTCCCTTAACGGAAATAGCGAAAATTCCATTCATATTTTCGCTACAGACCAAACATGTTCTGCAGAAATTATATGGGTAATTCTCTTCAAAAACAAATGTAAACCGTTAACTGACCAACCAATCAAATATTTAATTGTTAAATGATTAAACGTTATTAAGCACTCAGCTTTACAACCATCTTCAGTGTACTTTACCCAATGTTGTCATCCATTCTTTTCCCTTCATCACGCTTACCATATCCTACAAGATAAGCTCAACATCGAGTTCAAATGATAAGGAAGGATAAAGAAATAATTTTGGAATCAGAAAAAGTTAGGGCAAAATAGAACAGATCTTCCCTTGTTAAAATGTTTGGAAAAACGTTAAACTTCAAAACCAACACTGATTCTGATTCAATGCCAAAAAGACTATTCGATGAGTTGAGCTATGTTTAGCTTACTTTATTTTCATATGTCATATTTGATATAAGCTATATTCAAATTCGCTGTGATAATCTTAGAATGCTGGAATACTAGATCAAAAAGAAACATCTATCGCTTATTAAATGGAAAACGGATTATGTCGAACATGCAGTTACATCTAAAAATAAAGAAGTTTGTTTTTCTTAATTTGTTTTTCTGAATAACCCATAACGCTTTTGTATGCAAATACAGATATTGTCGTTGGAAGCATGAAGTAGCAAATGAAAGTGAAGCAGCTGTTCTTTTCACCCGAATATACATTCCCTGAGACACGTTTAAAATCAACAAAAAATGGTATTATTTCTTAGAAATGAACTTGCGCATATCTTAATCCGGACTCTACACAATTTTGGAATATTCATCAAGTTACACCTCAATTTTCTGACCTACTTTACTCTGAAGCAATTCACTTCAGCAAACATAATCAAAAGAATTTAAAACTCATGTTTAAGAGCCAAAAGTAATGCAGAAATGTAGAGATTCCACATGATAAAAACTGTAATCAATTAAGTCAAAAGATAACAGAAATATTCATAGAAGTAAGAAGAAACTGTTTATTTCACCTCCACGAAAGCAAAACCATTGCAAACCGGTGGAGATCGGGTTAAAGAGCGAGCCACAGAACTAACAGTGTAGAACTGCATCTCATTTTATCCCTTTTGCATTGTTTATGCATTACAGATCTAATAATCGAAATTATGTGCATAAAAGTGGGATAGAAAAGAGAAGTGATAAAGAATTAAACCATAACAATGAAGTGAATATTATAAAATGCGAAGAAGATAGAAGAGAGAATCGTGTTTTACGGACTCACTGATTAGGCAAGTGACACAAACAATTTTCGCGGGTTTACCGTCCATTGTTTGAAAAGATTTTCCACATGTCAACATCAACAGCAACTATTGAGTACGAAAATGAAAATAGGGCCTTTTATCGGAACTGTTCAAAAACCTTAATAAAATTTTTAAGAATCGGAAAAATGATGCTTACTTCTCTTTATCGTGAACGGTTTCACTCTGTAAAAAAGAGAAACTACAGTTGAACAATAAGGCAGCATAGCCTTTCACTATTCCCTTATATTAATGAATGAAAGTGATGATGAATTTTTGACTGATACGATTTCAATTCAACAGAGAAAAAATTCTGTAAGTCTTTTACCCAAAACATGAACTTTTGTTAGGGCTACAATAATTACAATTATTTTTTTTGTAAAAAATTTCTTTTCTCCATTTCTGAAAATTTCATTCATAAAATATATCTAATTTTTAAGAACAAGATGTGATAAAAAAATATATGAGAAATTTAAAGTTATTTTTAAAGATTTAAAACATTAAAAACAAAAAAAAGTTATTTTTTTTTTTAAAGATTTAAACATTAATTCATGCAGATTCTCCACAGCTGAAAAATCTAAAGACATTAACGCCATCAATGCCATCTAATTTAACTGCAATCTTAAGAAATTACTCAACTGATTCATCAGTAAATTATTTACTGCTTGACAATCAATCAGGTAGTTTCGCTTAAGAAAATCGCGTTGTCGATATTTTCTCAATTAAGAAAAAGAAGTTTCAAAGCACACCATCTTGATTATTCACACAGTCTTAAAACGGCATTTGTTTCTAATCAGGCAATTCATTGATAATGGGTATACTCAACATTTGCTGTAATTCTAACTTCAATCACTTAATATACAGAACATCCTGGTGAGTAATTCGCGAGAAATTTGTTAATTGGTGGCTCCCTTATTCGCATCGTCTCTAATCTTTTGCCAGCCCAATCTAATCAATCTACTCGATTCTCTTTTTAATAAAATTCTCCACAAAATATTCATTTTTAAGAAAATTATTAAGTAAAGAGCTTTCATGAATTAGCTATATATATATAAGAGAAGGAAAACTAATTTTTTATTGCATAGGCTATTTTTTGATTAAAACAAATGTATTTTATAATGGCATGCCCAAAAACGTAAATAGACTTCCTGCAGATACGTACTCAGTTTCCAGAATTAGTAACAAATTCTAGAAGCTAGGTACGTACCGACAGCAAAACAAGGCAAACAGGTATGGCGGTAATTCATGATTAGCTTTACTTTCTTTACAACCAAAAACTTAATCTGACCTAATATTAATAAATTGAAAATGTAATAAAAAATCTAAAATTAAGTTTTTTCATGAATCAGAATCAAGAAGATTTAATGCTAAAAATTAAAGCTGCATTTTCTTCAATGGAAACAGAAACACAAAAACGAAACACTTCGCATAAGTTAAAACTCACTCGAGTCTTATGTCGTGTCACTTTCTATAGCAAAAAGTATAATATTTAAAGAAATGCTTCAATATACAGAATTGAATTGGGAATGCCAATTATTATTTAAAAATTTGTAGGGGAGAAGGACAAACCAGGAGAAGTGACACCTTTGCAGTTCTTGCTTTGGGTTCTGTCGTTATTAGAATTCATCGATGGCATACACATCTCACTCCCATTTTTGAATTCTTCTGTGGCAAAACATTGATTTTCCATATCTATATTCACTTTCTTCACCTAAAAGCATATTAAAGAATAGGATAAAAACAAATAGGTGTGAAACTAACATCAGTCCGTATTTTGAAAGCAACCCTTCAAACATATGATTGCACAGAAATAATAATGAGTATATACAATTAAGTGTTTGAAATAGCGAGTTTTGAAAAAAATTGAAAGAACAGAGAGTGAAAATACGCTTCCCCTTTTAGAAAAAAAGAAATATTACTAAACATTAACAACTACCAGTTATGTTCTTTGCAAAATTATAGAATGCTAAGCTTCATTTTATATTTTACAATACATATATATTGAGGTTTGAAGCCAAAATATTCGTGAGACAGGCAGGATAATCAGAAAAATTATGACAAAATTAAAACAAACATAAATTTATATACGTCAGATTGTGCAAAGAAAACAATTTACGTCTTTTATTTTTTATTTGAAAAAATATAAACAGTGCGAGTGGTCACTAGGATAAAGGTGATCAATTGCAATGGAAAATTTTTTAGAAAGACACTATTCTTTCTTATCTCAACAATGCAGAAAGAGGATAGCTTACTTGAGTAGTTACACTGCCCGCTGAATTTGCCATTAAAGATTAATAGCTTCTGGGTAGCACTGTAAAATCCAGAAAAGTAAAACAATATAAAACGTTTAGATTTTGCTTCCGTTCACTTTTACTTGTTCTCGATCTTTTTGAAAACTTAAGGCATTATTTAGCCTGAAAATCTGCAAATTAAGAATGTGAGAGACATTACTATCAGACACTGGCATGATTACCTAAAAACAATTAGACAAAGCACTAATTTGACTTTAATTGGACTTCAGATCCGGGATCTATGTCATATATATGGTTCAGATTTACACTTTGATATTAATAACTGAGTAGCTTCAAACAAACCTAGAAGTCCTATATATTTGTCAATTTCTTTTCAGTTCTCACAGAAATATATTCCACTATAGTTCTCACAGGAATATATTCCAAAAATATATTCCACTATACTCCGATATTATCTAGTTGAATGCACACCCATTCCATAACCACATACTACACTTAATGCCGAATTTTTGTGTAAGATTCCATTCTTTCCATAATAACTATTACTTATTGAAAGTTAACTTTGGTAACAAAATTAAGAGATAAATTTTGGTGCAACAAAATTTTAGAACTTATAAAATAAAATGAAGTGGTTCGGAATTTAACACCCGCACTTTTTTCTTTTCTTCACCAATGAAATAACATAGGAGTCTGACAGCAGCAAAAGATGCAAGCACGGCAATCGGTATCGACAACTGCTTCTTGGTCGGGTCTTTCTTCCGTCCAAATCAGCAAGCTTCTCGTTAATGCTTTGTTCCTGTTTCCTGTAAACATAATTGCTTTCTTTTAAATCAGAGAAATCAAATTTCCGGTGACTTTCATACGTTAGAATATTTCAGACAAAATATAATAATCAACGGAAAAACTTTATAGGTATTTTATTTCTTGCCATATGTTTCTTGCCACAAAAGTAAAATTCTAAACATGGTTAATGAATGAATGAATAGAGTGATGGAAAACATCGTGAGTCCAGAAAAAATAAGGAAAAAGAATCCTTAATGTGCACCATCAAGTAAACAAAAATCATAAACTGAAACGTAATATATTTCAAACCAAAAATACCTGCACCAAATGGTTATGTAAAACCAAAAAATTCACCCACAATCCGTTCCAAACCGTTAAAACTTTACAAATGCATGACTTATCAACAATATGGTCAGGGCCATGCACCAAAAGTATTAATAAATTAAAGGTAATTTCATAATAGCAAGACGCTTTACATTTTAGAAAAGATGAGAAAACAGATTAGTCTTAATAAATAAAACGATCGCTACACACCCCTTCTTCCACTCATTTAGTATCATCAGATAGAAATAAATATGAGTGATGAAAACGAAAGTATAATGTTCTAAGAGCAAAGCGTATCTGGAGCAAAATCTGGCACAATTTTTTCCTTCCTTAATAAAGTTGAAATGCCTTATTAATTATTTATATAAAAAGTGCCACCGATCAACGAAAAAGTAACTACATGATCTTCTACATTCTACTTTATAGTCAACTGCATGAAAGAAATGTCCTCCTTAATCGAATATAAGTTAGGAGATTTTAGAATTAAATCATTAGAACAAGTTTTTTTTTTTTGTCCGATGAAATTGCCAAAAAACGTTTTGAAAGAATTTCACCAGAGTTGAACTGCTTCGTTAGCTTCTTGGTAGTAGCAACAGAATGCAACGTTAAAGAAAATTATGTAGAATAGAAGTTAAGGGTATGGAAAAAATAACTGGAAATTTATAAAAGTAAATAAACCTTGGTGGAGACATAAAGTGAGAAATCCGCTTGTTTAGTAACCAAGAATGATACTAATCGTTTCTAAAAATACACTGTCTTAATAAAATGAAAGCAGAAGAACGACATTTAACATGCGAATACTAAAACGAGATATGAGGTAGGAGATTTATTTTAAGCAATATGTAACCACTCTTAAAATACATCAACGGTGAAATCAAACAGTGATAAAAAGGATTTATTGAGAAATGATAGGATTTAAACGAATGCAACCACAATTATAAAATATATAAAATATATATATATATATATAAAAACAAGGTGCAGGATAACAAATTCTGATTCTAATGAAATACCATTCGATATGAAAGGATGGAAAACTACATGGAACGATGGAGTCTCGTTATTCGATATATACACACTGATCAATGATGTTATCAATATGAGTTTTGAAATTTGTTTTATATATGGAGTGAAAGGAAGCTAGAATTCATACAGGGAATATAAATTATACCCATAAGAAAATATGATGAAGTAATGATTTGTTTATAAGTCGCTTGTAATTCATATCATATAAAATTGAAAAATCATGGTGCATGCAGTGAAAAAAACAAATTTCGTCGTAGTTGATAGTGCCTAAGTCACCGATGTTCAACCCCAAATATTAAAAATCTCACCAAATTTGGAAAACTCATATGGTAATTATTGCTAAGAAATGATCTGTATAAATTAACCTAATAAAAACTCATATGAAAAGAAACCATAGCTTAAGTATAACTAAATTCAAGAAAAATTTTTTTGAATTTGTAAGAACAGAAATTTTCAAACGTCTGAACTGAAGTGCTTAGTTCAGTAATTAATCAGTATGAAATGTTTTATATATGTTGACTGGACAATGCGATCAACCTTTACTCCCACTACACTCCCTTTTACTCCTAAAAAAATTTATTACATCCCTCCAAGAAAGTTTTGGCCACTCATATTAAGTAGCATTAAAATGAGGTATGACATGTTCACTTAAAAAGCATTATCAAAACACATCATTATTCATCAAGTGATAATCAGCAATGCTAAAATAATTAATAATTAAAGATTATTGCCCAAAACATGCTATGCAAAGTATAAAATGTATTATATATTTTTTTTTCGATAGTTAAAATATCTAAATTAATACTGATGTTTGAAAGCGTTAGCTAATTTGAGTATTTGATGTAAACCGCTGCATAAAACTGAATACGCGAAAGAAATGACCTTGTCTTACATACTAACTCATTAGTCTATCTTTCAATTTAAAACCCGTAAAAAACTACACAAACGCTTATCTGTGCCAGAAACAGAATCATCAAACACATGAACGCAATTAACAGACAACATCCCATACTATCCATTCAAATAATTTATTAGAAATACTCTGAAATCCAGCACAAACCCAGCAGAACTATATTTCGCTACAAACAACTAGAAGATGGATCTCCCTTAAAACTAACAGCGTTGCGATCTACTTAGCTGACTCTGTCTTGTCAAAGATTATTACGTAAATTGTTATGACTAGGTTGAAGACATAATTTTAAATCATTTGTATCATGAACAGATAATATAAAAGTACTTTTAAAAAATTAATCCGAAAGCAAGACTTCATCTGCCGTATCGTAATCAGTTCATCATTTTTAAATTAGAAAAGATATCAGAAAAAAAACAAAACAAAACTCAGGCATCTATCTAATAATAAATGACAAGTGGCACTAATCAACACTTACGCTTCCGTCGCACTCCATTTCAAGAAAACAATCCGTTATTGCAAACAGTCATGTGCAAGAAAACTATTACTCATGATCAGCTTAGTGCAGGACCAATGGACAAGCCTTCCGCACAGTTCCGTTGCCTACTGATTAATATTTGCGTTTCCAATACCCTCCATTCCAAAAAATATTCCACTACTGCAAACTATTATGGGCAAGAAAACTTATTCGATAAGTTTTCGAGTTGCTTCAAGAATAATGTGAACGATTTTCGTGCTGTAGTAGATATATACTTCTGATGACCGTTATTATTAAATTATAAATCGACGAACTACTGTGAGATTAAATTATAAATGAATATTCCAACAACTCCCTTATATAAGCCATGAAAACCTAATCGTGGTGCTCCGAGGATAATTTGATTGGTTTATAAACGCCCAAAATCAATGACCATCTGAGCAGCTAGCTGATAAAAATAATGATTTAAACAGCGCTAAAGCATCCTTAAAAGATTTGCAAAAAAAAAAAAAAAAGAAAAAAGAAAAACGAAACTTTGTTAAAAGAAATTTCTAGGGACATAGAAAATGAAATTTTTCCTATGTTCCTAGAAAAAATACTGCAAATCCTATTATTAATATTTAGTTTTGAAGTTACATCTTGAAACTGCTATACCAATCTCCAAACCAATCATATTCAGTTTTTTCTTCTATATTATTCTCGTGCTTTCCAGCCAAAAACTAAAGAATAAAAATCCAGCCTACTATTTTGATAGTGTGGCTCAAGCTAAATCAGCTGATAATTTCATGAGACCAGCCTATCTCGTTGATTATGATCGTAATCCAGTTCGCTACAATGTCTTCTCAACCTCTTGGAATTCCTAAGGATATTTGCTTCGCTCTGCTCGAACACTCTTTATTGTCAATTCTTTTATGTTTCTAGCAGAAATGAACGTCGAGAGTCGGGAAAATGTAATACATAATACGATGAAAGAAATGGTCGGAAGAAAGCGCAAAATAGTTCCTTCTGTTGATGAAGTTTATTTCAAATAGAACCACTTTTGAATACCTATCTGGTACATTGAAGTAGTTCAACATGAGCATGATTCAGAGCTTCAAAAAATGCAATTTGATCCGGAGCTGCGATATCTACAACAACAAAAATGAAAATGGAAATAACTGCAGCCAAATACTATTTTCCCCTCTACCTCTGAGCACTCATTTGTAGCTTGCAAGGGAAAGAAATTAAAGTAAAAGCTACTGCGAACTTATAAAAAGCATTTAATTTTAAAAGATAATTGCAATAAATCAAATTTTTTAATTTTTCAGATACTGCAGAGAAGGAATGAGATAGTTGCTTTGAAAGATGTTTTAGTGGGTTGAAGTTCACATGCCAATAAAGCTATTATAAGTTTTCAATTCCTTATCAACTTAGTGCATTTAAAATAAATAAAAAAAAAACAGAAGTCAAAGTTCTTCAGTTCTCAGAAAATAAAACAAGTACTTGAAAAAAGGAAAAACAGTTTATGGAAGGAAGTTTTTTGCTTAAAAAACATCAAAATGCATAACATATGTAAAATTAGTTGAACCAGTGATGACATTTAGGAAATTATGATTTCACCGCTAAAACGATCTATCTTGGTATTAGTAGTTACCCGATGTGCTCTGAAATTCCAAAACTTATTTTTCTGTCGTCAAGCAGACTCGATTGCGGCTATAGGAATCAGTAATTAGTAACATATCAAAAAGTACATAACAAGAGAGTACAAGTTCGAGACGGAAAGAGCAAGTGTGAGTTTGACAGTCGAAGATTTGACCGAAAATTTCAATATATTCACATTTCAAATAAACATGAAAAGTGTTAATGACAGTAAACACATTCCTTAGGTTAAATTAAGACAAACCGAAACAACTAATATTCACTTAATTTAAGGTAAATAAAAAGATGTTGAAGTACAGTGGTATTGAAGTGAGAGACCTGAAATCAATACATATCAAAAATGAAAATAATGGTTTTTCCAATGTAAAATTTTGAGTACTAGCAGAAAAGAGAGGAATGAGCAATGATTGACAGTTAATAATTTCTATTCTAACTCGCAGTATGATAAGTGAACAATTAATAAGTGAACAATTCATTGTTGACATTTCCAAGAATAACGATAACCAGAAACAAAAAATGTAAAATTTGAAGAAACTGCGACATGGTATGAACATTTGGAAAAAAGTGCATGTCTGCATGCAAACTTCTCCTCAACTTGTCTTGTTCACCTGGGAAGGGATGAACACAAACAAAAAACTTCACATCTAAGAGGGATAATTGCCAAAACAACCAACACTAACGCACTGTGCTACTATCAACAGGCAAGCGTTCGGGTCGTCATTGTGCAAAAATCAGTATCTCACATTGAGGAGATGTGCTCGGAAATTTCGTGAGACGTTGGGGGGGGGGATGGTTTTTTTGTTTTCGTTTATATTGAGAATAGGTGGTTTAATTGTTTTTAGAAGTAGTGTTATTTTAATTCTGAAGCACTAAATGTTTTTGTTTTGAGAGTTGGATAACTTGGTAGAAAAAAATACATAAGTGAACTTTTTAGATTTCATCAAAACATGAACTTGTACAAACAATCTGATGTAACCGGACACTGGTATGTTTCAACGGGATAAACAGAAGAATTAGCCTTTGCTTTTGCACCGTTTCTATCCTTCGTTTAAAAGGAAAAAAAAAGATTTTAATAATGTTCTTACCGACCAAACACTACATGTTTTAATTTAGTTATTGACAAGAACTGCATTTTCTTTTAACCTGATCAGTAGAGCTACTTAATGTTCAAGAGACATGCTATCATCTAAAATATCCTTGACATTCTGAAAAACTTCAATACCAACTGAATATGTCTAGCATCTTCTGAGCTTGAAGCTTCTCAAATCGACTTGTCATCAATTCAGGCCATTTTTTATTGCTCGCTCAATTTATGATTTATAGTAATTTAAAATTTAAATTTAAGTGGTGTGCTTTACTAAAATCTGATCTGTCAACATTTCATGTAACGTCTTTCAGACATGTTTGAAGCTTTTTGTTCGTCTATTCCTTCGAGATCTGATATCCGGTTGGTTTGCTGCAGTAATACATGTTGCCCGAATTTTCCATTTGATGTGCATTCATAAGTTTGTCTACTAAACATAAGGGAAACAATTATCCGTTCATTAAAAAACTATGAAAAGGTAATAATACTATGACAAAAAAGAAATTCTCGCAATATTCTTTCATTAAATTGTAAAATAATGAGATGGAGGATTGTT